TATAATCGAGCCGCCGAGACGCGAGCCTCGGCAGACAAAACCGCCCACCGTCGTCAGGAAATGCGAGAGAACTTCGGTCTTCGTCTGACGCAGACTGGAGCGACGACGATAGGCGCTATCGTCTCTTCTACGAGGCGTCGCAAACACGGGGCGCGTTGTAAGTCCGCCATTGAAGGAAGCAGACGAGCACGTGCTGGCCAAGGAGTACACACGTGATGTAGCTCTGTCATTTTATTTGCTTCCTGCGCTTGCTCGTCGTGACAAAACTAAGTGCTGGTGAGCGCGTGCTGACGGTAAGCTTTTAATTTTTTTTTTTTTTCTTAACAACGTGCATTTAGCGTCGTCAAGACTGCCGTTGTTTGGCAGACGAGAAGTAAAAGCGCTCGCTCTGAGCAAGCGCCGTGACTGCGGGCAACGAGCATCCAGTGAAGGCCATTCCAATCAAGGACTCCCGGCTTCTGGCCGGGACCCGTTTCAGAATTGGTGCACATGGCACATACGTTGGCGGCTCTCCCAACGGATGAAGACATTCGTGCTGGGCTGTGGACTTGTATATACACTGGAACACTGAATAAGAGCTTACCGAGCCACTGCAGGCACTATAGTATGGGAAGAAGGCGCTTCTGTATTACGAAAGTTAATCTCACCACCCCGTAGTAACGCTTTCGTACAGAGGTGAGTTCACTGAAGTGTTAAATCCCTCAGGTAATCCATGCAATGCTTTCACCACCGTCGAAAGCATTACATACTTTTGATGAAAGATTTGCGCATGAAGGGCTACGGAACTTGCACGCTCAATTATCGATAGGTAAACGTAACCATGTTTACCAATACACCTGACGACACAGAACACGTGCTTTGTGAAGGCACGAAGTAAACATTTTGAAGATTATCCTTGAAGTCTCGACTCGGCACAAGAAATGATGAACAACTGACGCCCAATCCTCCGCTTGTTCAATGAGCTTCTGTTGTAAGAAAACCACAACGCTCAACTTCAATTCTTAAGAAAGCTCATCCTCAAAAGTCTTGTAATAGAATTGATTGTCCCCTAGGCTGCCTAACGTACGCTGAAACACTTCGCATGTTGTCGTAAAACATCTCTCTGTGACATACTTTCTTTTCTCTACGTAATTATCAGCTTCCTTTCATGATGGAGCCAACCAACGGTAAAAAAAAAAGGTGAACCTCAATACATTTATTATATATTTACCCCTCTTATCCAAAAGATGAAAGTTGGGCCAGTTTTTGGTCAGGGCATCGCATTCGAACTATCAATTTCGCATTTGTTCCGACATCTCCCTCCCTACACATTGGAAGGAAGGAAAAAAAAACAAAAAAAAAGGTGCGATATTGTCAATAGGTATGTCAGGTGTATTCACAGCTCGTGAATTTATCTTGCTGTAGAGGCATCCATTGTCGTACCGTCAAACATTGCTGGAAAACCTTGAAAACAAAACAAAACAAAAAATCTATCTATCTCGAGGCCGGTGAAAGGAGCATTGTTATTTTCGAAGGCCTAAATATCGGCGATCTTTCTCTCTCTGTACACAATACGTGCGCTCTGCGCGCGTCGGCCAATCCGGTAGTCCACAGCTTGAAATGCGTTTCGTGTACTAACGGTCTTAGCGAACGACTCAGGAGATGAGGCAGGTGACCTTAATGGCGGATAACCATATTTACGAACGAAGGGAAGACATATTTGACTCTCTTACATTAGCGCGCACAAAAGATCCCTCCTCTAGACTAGGTGTCTCCGAACCCCGGCCCGCGGCTGGCCGCGGTCCTGGCAGTCACGTCCGGCCCGTTTCCAGCAGGCTCTCTGCTACCGGCTCAAAAATAAGCGCGTGGAAAGAAACCGCGCCGCGACGCTAATTTTTATTGCACATTGCCATCACCGGCATCTCCTTTCTTTGTTCAAAATTATTCTGCGCTCTGGTGGTCTTAGCGTCCTGTGTCATAAGTGTTGCCATAAGTCCTACAATTCTCATTAGACTTCTGTGCGAATATGCCAAAGTTCTTACGTGCTCTCTCTGATTTCTGCGCGTTGATTTTTCTGGCCTACAATTATTGTATAATGTCATAGCAAGCTAAACACTGAAGTATACTATCTAATGAATAGTACTACTCGTAAGCCTTGTTGTTTACATGTAGGCCCTCTATTAATATACCGTGGATTAATTTTTAAAATTATCCTACACTTTGAAAAACACAGTCTACGTACTTAGTGTGTTTTTTTGTTCTTCTATTTTTTACAATTACTCGTTTAATATCTGGCCCTCGAGAGTGCGACAAACACCTGATCCAGACCCTTAGCCGTAAAGTTCGGAGACTCCAGTTGTAGACGGACATCGTCCTTTTAGTAACTCCACGCCGGAGTCGTGCCCACGTGCATACAGAAGCCATACGAACAAACGGCAAGCGTTCGAATTATCTTTCGCTTCAACGTTGGAGGTTTAGCTTCGCTCACTGACATACGAGACAACAGAATGCCTGTCATCCAGCTACGCGTGTACCGTTCCCACGTGATCATTGTAACACGCGTGCGTCGTGCACAGGTATTCGTCCTGCGTCAGACACGAACACGGCACGTGAAAACACCTCTGGGAAGAGTTTTTGGGGAGAGGCCAGCAGCTCGGGGGTGCAGATCCGCACGGCACGAAATGGGCGTGATCCGTCTGCATGGGAGTTGATTCGAGGCACGAAGATAATCCGCATAGCTGCAGTGTCGCCACTATGCACCAGCAGTTGCGCGCGATTCCAGGGGGGAAAGAGCACGTGACACGACCGAACTTCACTTGAAATCAACTTTCTGCATGCGGTTCTGCGGTCAACACGATGGGTACACGGAAGCTGGAGCACCTTGAGCACCAATCATAGCTGTGCACGCGCACTCTTCACTTCGGAAACACAACGAAAAATTAATCCCGCTACCCAAAAAAGTAAAAAAAAAAAAGTTGTTTGGCTGGTTTTACTTTTAGTGTTCGTGCGGATGGCGCGTGATTCGCTCGCTCTCCGAAGCAACGAAAATGCATGTGCTGAACTGGTGAGATTGCACGCTGGGCCGAGGACTCGTAAATATTGGAATGGTGTATGGAAAAGGTTTACCTGCGCGCTATACTACAAATTTCGTGTCGCGAGCATGCATCGAGAGCCAGATAAACGACTATCAGACGGCCTCTACAACGCCGGCGATGCGAACAGGAAACGAAGGTAAATTTTGTTTGAGTTCGCGCAAGTGCCTGCCGCATTCGGGGGACGGTTGTTACACAGAGAAGAATGGTATCCAACGTCGCACGTTCGAATGCTAACCAGCACGTGTTGAGTGGGGAAGCATCGAACCCGCCATGAACAGGCCGAGCTCACTACGCGATCCCCGCATGCGCGATGCCGCCACTACTGTAGTTCACAGGGGCCGGCCCCAGTGCACGAGATGGTTTCTTGTCGTCTCGTGCCCGGCTCGCGCAGAGCTCCAGCGGGATTGTCGCACGTACAGGAAGAAGACTACAGTTCCCATGATCCATCCCGGCAACGGCGACGTAACTAAACTTACTGGCGAGATCGGTCTATTGGGCGTCCTCACACCTAACAGCTTCGTCGCGAAAGGGCGAAGAAAAAGGTCGTCATTGCCCCGGCGGTAATTAATCGTACAACTAACCTCGAATTAAAAAAAAAAAAAAAAAAGCACGGAAGAAGGTGCGCGACATGAAAATAATTACGTTGAAAGAAAGAAAGAGACGAGATGAGGAAAATCACGATCTGGACCCCTGCCAAAAATCGATGAACTGATTTCGAAACAAACGCTACCACCGCCGCGGACGGCAGCATCGCCGCGCTCTAGCCACCCGGTGTCCGAGTGCATGGAAAGTCGGAAACGGTCGAATCGCGCGCACACTTCGAACGAGGAAGAATAAACGAGGCCGACGAGTGAAAGACGCGCCGACGTTACCGCGATAAGCGCCGACGCGCCCCGGCCGAGCCGCTGCAGGTAAGGGGCAGACATTTTTAAATGGCGGACCCCGGTCATAACGGGCGCCCCTTTTTATTTATATTTTTTTTCTTTCCTTTGCTTTTCTCGCGGTTCGTTGTTCTAGAACTGCACTGAACATACGAAACACATCTCACGCGCCGCCGCGAACATGAAACACTCGGAGCCTCGGGATCGCTGGAACGCTACTTCTGCCCCGGGACGCGGTCCAATCGAACGGAAAGAGCTGCTGCGGCGCTACATCTACAGTGTTGCCGGCGGCTCGCTCCCAAGAGCGAAACGCCGCTGCTGTGCGCGGCTTGCTCGGCGTTTCCACGCTTCGAAAGGAATGCATAAAACGTGTCGGACTGTGTCAAAACTTCGCGCGGGACATCACCGGACCATGTTCGCGCTTCGACCGGCGAACCGACGGTGCCGGACGAGCGCGAAAGCGAGACTGCCGGTTAAATAACCTCTGCAACCCGATCGCCTGACCTTAATCCGGCGAGGGAATGCCGCTTCGCCTGGCAGCATTTGTTTGCCACACCCCGCGGGCTGGGCTCGGCAGTGCGGCTCGTCGACGCTTTCGGGTTAGTTTACAACGAGGTACGAGCGAGGGCAACGGCGGTAAACCCCGGCGAAGCGACGACCTAGTGCGGAAACCCCGGGATGCGGGCCACGCTCTCGCCGGGTGACCCAGCCCCCCTCACGGGCCCGGCCCGCCGCACTCGCCGAGCCACCTCGGGGAACGTCGGGCCCCTCGCGGCGTGCAAAGCGGGTCCCCATGTCCCCCCACGAGGGCCCGGCAAAATCAATACGGAGCCGGGGCCCGCGGTCCCGATCGCCATTTGCCCGAGCGGCGACGAGCGGCGCCGCAGCGGGTCCCAGGCGAGGCCCAGAAAGCGGGCCCGCCATGTTGTCCGGGGCCGTGCGACGAGCGGCTCGCTCGAGGGCGTTCGTCTTTGCCACTCGCGTGCGCGCCGCGCGGAGGGGCGACGGCTGCGACGGCGACGAGAGAGCGACGGAAGGGCCTTACCTGATCGTCCTTCCCTTTGTCCGCCATGATGACTCCCTCAGGAAGAGATCACTCTGCGCGGAAAGCCTGTATAAGTACGATGCGCACCACTGCTGACGTAACAGCGTCGCCCTCCCGCAACGGACAGCCACGCAGCTCTGCGGCCCGAGAGCTGCCGCCGACGGCCGCCGGGAGAGGCTGGCGGCGGCACCGAGGCTGGCGCCATCTGTCGCGCGGGCGCGTAAACGAGTCGATGCCGCCGTGCGGAACACGCCATCGCGCTTCGCTCTTCGCGGCTTCCAGTTTCGGACTTCCCTTTCCAGACAGTTCTGTCAACTTTCTGCTGCCTCGTTCTATTTAAAATTGAGCACAATGCGCTTATGTGCTCGCCTAGTTCTATTTTTTAATTAGCATCACCGCGTAGCCTGTCGGGCATCACTCGTGGCGAGCAAAGCATTCGCTCTCTTCGCCTGTTTGAAGTGTGCGGGTGTCGAGGGAAAAGATGCCGAGGGAAAAATCAGAGAGGAGGACCCGGCCCCTGGGGGAGAAAAAAGAGAAGATAATGTCAAGGTTCACAGCATCCCCAACAGTGCTCCTGGCAACGAGTCTGATGCCAGTCTGGCGCTGCCTGCGAGCGAGGTCGTCCATAATGACCCTTTGCACCGGCGCCGCAGTTTGCACAGCACCGGATTGCACCGGTGCATTGGGGCAAAGTTTGCGGTGCAGGGGGAAGCTTCGAAGCACAAGGTTGGGAGATTTTCGGTGCGGCGCCGGCGTTGCAAGGCGCCTTACATTCGTGCAAGGCACCTTGCACGGGGTTTGCTCGATTGCATTTGTGAGGTTAAAATGAACACCGCACCGCGGAACAAGGGAACACATACATAATGGTCGTAAATGCTTTCGTACGTGCGATCAGGCGTGCGAGATCTCCCGGGCGCTAACGAGGATCGCCTTCTTCCGGGTTCAGGGTAGGCGCACGTCCTGCAAATGTGACGCTCGCTGGAACATGCATTACAATGGGCATTTCGTCGTTTGGTCCGTCCGATTATCTTCCAGCTGGTTGGAAGGACCACCGTGGGGAAATGCTGGCGAGTGTGAAATTCGCGACTGAGCTCTGCGTTTGATTCTGGGATATATATATATATATATTGCTTTCATCAGTTTTTGTTTGGTCCCAGACTGGGCTCATTACCAGAAAATGCAGCAACGAACGTGGCATTGGGAAAATACTTGTTTAGTGTGCGCATCACACTACCTTTAATCACGAAATAGACTTCTCTGCTTGTCTTATTGCCCTATAAACGATAAGAATTACGAGTGGGGTTGATACTTATCCTCTGCAAAGCCCGTCTCCGTGCCGCACGAGACAACCAAGAGCTACTTAGGACAGACCTCTCATTCGCGGAATGCCCTTCTTCACACACTCAACTCATTGTATAGACCCGTACGCACAACACGCACCACAGCGCTCAGACGTCAGCACTGGCAATAGCGCCGACCTTTGTGATGCAGCGCAGACTAGGCGCTATATGAGTGACACAGCGCTCATACAGCGCTGGATCCGCGTGCAAAGTTACCTTCCAGTTGGCACTGCGTCAACACCGTTCCCAATGCTCATTTCGCACTGCGCCGTATGTCCTTGAACCAACCTTTACAGGGACACGCGTCGAGGCGGAGTCACTAAACCCGTTTTCACCTCAAGAACCGTAGTAAAATAAGTACGGCACCTCGCGGAGCATTACTAATTTTTCCCTTTATTTTGATAATTAAGTTATATGTAGGTGAATTTTAGATTAGATATATGTTATCTTATCAAGGCGTAAACGTTCCAAACGCCAAAAGTGTCGCTTCTTCTTCCGACAACCAAATCTCGTAAGAACTCTTTCGCGCCGCGTATGAAGAATGCGCAAAACTTGCTTCTTGCTTGAGGTGAAAACGAGTAGGGATACAATTAGAGTTCCTGTATAGACCGACACGCTGTTTACAAACAAGCCCGCGTTTGCCCACACCAGGTGTGGGCACTGCGGATGCGCAGAAACCGAATTCAAGTGAACTGAAGCTTCTGCGCATGCGCAGTGCCGTCGACAGCGCCACCGCAGCTGCGTGACGTCAGGGACGCGTGTTGGTCTATAAGCTCCCTACCGGTGTAAGTACGGCACCTCGCGGAGCATTACTAATTTTTCCCTTTATTTTGATAATTAAGTTATATGTAGGTGAATTTTAGATTAGATATATGTTATCTTATTAAGGCGTAAACGTTCCAAACGCCAAAAGTGTCGCTTCTTCTTCCGACAACCAAATCTCGTAAGAACTCTTTCGCGCCGCGTATGAAGAATGCGCAAAACTTGCTTCTTGCTTGAGGTGAAAACGAGTAGGGATACAATTAGAGTTCCTGTATAAGCTCCCTACCGGTGCCATATTTCCGTGTCTATTTTCCACGTGCCGCCGCGGCGCTATTCGCCAAATCCGATCACGTGACGAAAAAAAAAAATCTAGTACTGTGCAGGAAAGTTTCCGCTACGACTGCTCCGCAGCTTCGTTAGCCGCTAGCCGCTAACTAGTCACTAGCAAACTGTGTTCATAGTCTTTACTTTTGCATGACGCGGTATATCTTTCATTTATAGGTCGTATCATTTAGATTTCATTCACCTGAGCATTGCGACAACGACGAAGACAGGCGATCATATTTAAATTAAGGAAGCCAGAGAAATTAGCCGGGAAGCGTCTCCTGACTTGCTATCCTGGTTAGGGGGAAGGGATGTGGATACAAAGATATGGAAATAGTTAAAAACGCACGCAAATAAATAAAAATAAAATAAAGCAAAATTAAAATCAGTGTATATCTTGTCGCAGCGTTAGAGTTTCTTGTAGAGACCTGTCGCCGGTAGGTATCGCAAGAAAGCATTTGTTGTTGTTGTGGCAGAGGCTTCGTTTTTCCACGGTTCCAGTATCTTGCAGACGGTAAGGAATTCTCCGTTTTTTTTTTTGTTTTTTTTTTTTGCAGTTGAGTGCGTTTTTTCTTACACTGAGGACATTCCAGCATGACGTGTCCTAAGTCTTCTATAACTCTGCAGTGATCGCAGCGTGGAGAGGTAATTCTTCTTATGCGGTATAAGTATTGATTGGCGTAAGCTACTTTTAAACGTATTCGGTCTAGTACAGCTTGGCGCTGACGAGTGAGACCGCGAGGTACGCGAAACGTTGGGTACGGATAATAGCTCTTAAGTGTGTATTTTGATTGGTTGCGTTAGCCCAGAGGTGTGCAGTTACCCAGACAGCACACGACGTCGGGCCAACATTGGTATTTAATTGGTGAACAATGGTCCAATATTGGGCCAATGTGGCCATCGCAGAACCAATATTGGTGGTACACTGGCATATACTGGCCAACGTTGGCCTGACTTGACCAACGGCTCACCAACGTTGGTAATCGATTGGCTTAGGCTGGCCAACATTGGCCTACCTCATCCAATGGCTTACCAACGTTGGCAATCGATTGGTTTAGACTGGCCAATATTGGCCAACCTCAGCCAACGGCTTAGCAACGTTGGCAACTGGTTGGCTTAGGTTGGCCAACATTGGCCTGTCTTAGCCAATTGGTTACGAACATTGGTAATCAATTGGCTCAGTCTGGCCAACATTGGTCTATGTTAGCCAATGAGTTGCCATCATTGGTAATCGATTGGCTAAGACAGGCCAATGCTGGCCAGCTTAAGCCAATCAATTACCGACATTGGTAATCGATTGACTTAGGCTGGGCAACATTGGCCTGTCTTAGCCAGTGGCTTACCAATGTTATTATGTAATTGGCTTAGTTCTTTTAATGTGCTGATCGCGCACGCTCAGAACAATCTCTAGCTATGCCTCCGGGGGGAACGATTCTTGTTTTCACACGCAGAGCAAGTTAGCAACTGAATTAGAACGCTGTATGCATTGCGAGCTGTAGCAAGTTTGAACGTCCACGCAGAAAAAAACCGTGTTCGGTGACAGGTTAAAAATAAACGCTGGGGAGGAGGTCGACTCCTCCTGATCTTTCGATCTACAAATATGGAAAGAGATGGGAGGAGCTTCTACCACCTGTCACCGACTATAACTAACACGCGTCTTCCCAACCCTTACAAAAAAATGAACTGACTTTCAATTGAAAGTGTAAAGGACTCACTCAATAGACCTCATTCAGTCTCAATTGAAACTTAATTGGCTTTTTCTATTGAGTCGCTATTGATCCGTCCCAGACTATTGGCCACTGAGTCTTAATTGAATTTTTAGCAATTGCATTTCAATTGAATTTTGGCAATAGTGTTTCAATAGAACTTTTGCTATTGAGTTTTAATAAAAATATTGCAATTGACTTTCAATTGAATTATTGCAGCGTGCTTCAATAGAATTTATTGCAAATGCATTTAAAAAAAAGATTGCTCTGGTTGAGAATTTTTTTTCACAATTCTTTAAAGCATGCAACATGAAGGAAACAAAGCACATAGAGGAAACGAACACAAACATCGTAACTAAGCACTCACAACCCACTAATCGTACTCCCTTGACTACCCCACCGCCTTATATACCCTACATAAGAAAGGTATTCATTTGGGCGGTGACCACCTCAGCATCTACTAAGGTTCCCAGTTTCCTATTTCCTCCTTGAAAGTCTCATAGATGATAAACAGTGTTTCGACGTCATTGGACTCTATCCCTTAATAGAAAAACATTGGTACAAGCAATAATCGTTCGGTGCACACGGGTGCAGTAATCCACAAACGACCAAACTCAATTGCATTCCTAATGAGTAAATTCAATAGAATCGATATTGACTTTCTTATGACCAAACTCAATTGCATTCCTAATGAGTAAATTCAATAGAATTTATATGGAGTTTTTAATGATCAAACTCAATTGCATTCCTAGTGAGTAAAGTCAATAGAATCGATATTGAGTTTTTTTATGAGCAGTCTCAATTGAATTCCTAATGAGTAAATTCAATAGAATTTAAATTGAGTTTCTTATGACCAAACTCAATCGCATTCCTATTGAGTAAATTCAATGGAATTGATATTGAGTTTCTAATGATGAAACTCAATTGCATTCCTAGTGAGTAAAGTCAATAGAATCGATATTGAGTTTCTTATGATCAGTCTCAATTGCATTCCTATTGAGTTAATTCAATAGAATGGAAATTGAGTTTCTTATGACCGAACTCAATCGCATTCCTATTGAGTAAATTCAATAGAATTGATATTGAGTTTCTAATGATCGAACTCAATTGCATTCCTAGTGATAAAGTCAATAGAATCGATATTGAGTTTCTTATGATCAGTCTCAATTGCATTCCTAATGAGTAAATTCAATAGAATCCAAATTGAGTTTCTAATGGTCAAACTCATTAGACATTGAGTTTATATCGAGTTTCAATTGACTATATAGGAACACAATAGAAAGTCAATTGAAACTCATTGATCATTTTTGTAAGGAAAAACTGATAGTTA